AGAGAATCAGATAAAGCAAAAGAAGAGAAACCAAGAACTGCAGAAGATGACAGACTTTATCAAGGAAATAAAAAAATGCTGCAAGGAAGATAAGGTCAAGAGTTACAGATGAAGTGTAACGTCATCAAGGAGAGAATCAGATAAAGCAAAAAGAAGAGAAACCAAGAACTGCAGAAAGATGACAGACTTTATCAAGGAAATAAAAAAGAGCAAAAAGAGAAGGTCAAGAGAATCAGATAAGATGACAAAGTCATCAAGGAGAGAAAAGATAAAGCAAAAAGAGCAAAGAAGAGAAGATGAAACTTTATCAAGGAAATAAAAAAATGCTGCAAAGGAAGAAAGGTCAAGAGTTACAGATGAAAACGTTATCAAGGAGAGAGATAAAGCAAAGAAGAGAAACCAAGAACTGCAGAAGAAAGACTTTAAAGAAATAAAAAATGCTGCAAGGAAGAGTCAAGAGTTAAGATGACAGTGTAACGTATCAAGGAGAGAGATAAAGCAAAAGAAAACCAAGAACTGCAGAAAACAGACTTTATCAAGGAAATAAAAAAATGCTGCAAAAGAAAGGTCAAAGAGATGACAAACGTCATCAAGGAGAGAATCAGATAAAGCAAAGAAGAGAAAAAGAACTGCAGAAGATGACAGACTTTATCAAGGAAATAAAAAATGCTGCAAGGAAGATAAGGTCAAGAGTTAAATAGTGTAACGAGGAGAGAATCAGATAAAAAGAAGAGAAACCAAGAACTGCAGAAGATGACAGACTATATCAAGGAAATAAAAAAATGCTGCAAGGAAGATAAGGAGAGTTAAGATGACAGTGTAACGTCATCAAGGAGAGAATCAGATAAAGCAAAGAAGAGAAACCAAGAACTGCAGAAGATGACAGACTTTATCAAGGAAATAAAAAGCAATAAGGAAGAGTTACAGATGACAGTGTAACGTTAAGGAAAGAATCAGATAAAAGCAAAGAAAAGAAACCAAGAGAATCAAGGAAAAAAAAAATGCAAGGAAAGTCAAAGAGTTACAGATGACAAAGAAGAGAAAATCAGAAGAAAAGCAAAAAAACCAAAGATGCAGAAGATGACAGTAACGTCATCAAGGAGAGAATCAGATCAAGGAAAAAAAAAATGCTGAAAAAAAAAAAGGAAGATAAGGTCAAGAGTTACAGATGACAGTGTAACGTTATCAAGGAGAGAATCAAAGAGAAACCAAAAGCAAAGAAGAGAAATAAAAGAACTGCAGAAGATGACAGACTTTATCAAGGAAAATAAAAAAAAAAATGCAAGAACTGCAGAAATGGAAGATAAGGTCAAAAGTTACAGATGACAGTGTAACGTTATCAAGGAGAGAATCAATAAAGATAAAAGAAGAGAAACCAAGAACTGCAGAAGATGACAGAAGAAATAAAAAAAATGCTGCAAGGAAGATAAAGTTACAGATGACAGTGTAACGTCAAGAGAGAATCAGATAAAGCAAAAAGAAAAAACCAAGAACTGCAGAAGATGACAGACTTTATCAAGGAAATAAAAAAAAAATGCTGCAAGGAAAAGTTACAGATGACAGTGTAACGTTATCAAGGAGAGAATCAGATAAAAAGCAAAGAAGAGAAACCAAGAACTGCAGAAGATGACAGACTTTATCAAGGAAAAAAAAAAATGCTGCAAAGGAAGATAAGGTCAAGAGTTACAGATGACAGTGTAACGTCATCAAGGAGAGAATCAGATAAAAGCAAAGAAGAGAAACCAAGAACTGCAAAATGACAGACTTTATCATGAAAGAAAAATGCTGCAAGGAAGATAAGGTCAAAGAGTTAAAAGAAGAGAAAAAAGCAAGGAAGGAAACCAAGAAAAAAGCAAAGAAGAGAAACGAAGAAATAAAAAAAGAGTTACAGATGACAAACGTCATCAAGGAGAGAAAGATAAAGCAAAAGAAGAGAAACCAAGAACTGCAGAAGATGACAGACTTTATCAAGGAAATAAAAAATGCTAAAAGAAGATAAGGAAAAGTTACAGATGAAGAGGAGAGAATCAGATAAAGCAAAGAAAAAACCAAGAAGAAGATGAAGACTTTATCAAGGAAATAAAAAAGCAAAGAAGAGATAAAAACAGATGAAACGTCATCAAAGGAGAGAAAGATAAAGCAAAGAAGAGAAACCAAGAACTGCAGAAGATGACAGAAAGGAAATAAAAAAATGCTGCAATGAAGAAAGGTCAAAGAAGATGAAAACGTCATCAAGGAGAGAATCAGAAAAAGCAAAAGAAGAGAAAAAGAACTGCAGAAGATGACAGACTTTATCAAGGAAATAAAAAAGAGAGAAATCAAGGAGAGATAAAAAAGAAGAGAAACCAAGAACTGCAGAAGATGAAATCAAAGAAATAAAAATGCTGCAAGGAAGATAAAAATACAGATGACAGTGTAACGTCATCAAGGAGAGAATCAGATAAAGCAAAGAAGAGAAACCAAGAACTGCAGAAGATGAAGACTTTATCAAGGAAATAAAAAGAAGAGAAGGTAGAGTTAAGATGACAGTGTAACGTTATCAAGAGAGAATCAGATAAAGCAAAGAAGAGAAACCAAGAAAGAAGATGACAGAAATCAAGGAAAAGGAAAAAAAGCAAGGAAGAGAAAAGAAGAGTTACAGAAATAACGTCATCAAGGAGAGAATCAGATAAAGCAAAGAAGAGAAAACAAGAAAAGAAGAGAAAAAATCAAGTTACAGATGACAGTGTAACGTTAAAAAAAATGATAAAGCAAAGAAAGAAACCAAAGAAGAAGAGAAATAAAAAATGCTGCAATGACAAGAGTTACAGATGATGAGATAAAGCAAAGAAGAGAAACCAAGAAAGAAGATGACAGACTTTATCAAGGAAATAAAAAATGCAAGGAAGATGCAAGATGAAGATAAGGTCAAAAGAAGATGACAGTGAAAATCAAGGAAGAGAAAGATAAAAAAGAAGATAAAGAAACTGCAGAAGATGACAGACTTTATCAAGGAAATAAAAAATGCTGCAAAGAAGATAAGGAAGATGACAGTGTAACGTATCAAGAGAGAATCAGATAAAGCAAAAAGAAGAGAAACCAAGAAAGCAGAAGATGACAGACTTTATCAAGGAAATAAAAAAAAATGCTGAGAAAAGGAAGAGAAGGTCAAAGAGTTACAGATGACAAATATCAAGGAGAGAGACTTTAAAGCAAAGAAGAGAAAACCAAGAACTGAGAAGATGACAGACTTTATCAAGGAAAGAAAAAATGCTGCAACGAAGAGAAAGAGTTACAGATGACAGTGTAACGTTATCAAGGAGAGAATCAGATAAAAGCAAAGAAAGCAAGAAAAGAAGAGAAACTTTATCAAGTCAAGAGTTACAGATGAAAATATCAAGGAAAATCAGATAAAGCAAAGAAGAGAAAAAGAATGCAGAAGATGACAGACTTTATCAAGGAAATAAAAAAAAAAGAAGATAAGGTCAAGAGTTACAGATGACAGTGTAACGAAGAAAGATAAAGCAAAGAAGAAAACCAAGAAAGAAGAGACAGACTTTATCAAGGAAAAAAAAAAATGCTGCAAGGAAGAGAAGGAGTTACAGATGAAAATATGAGAGAATCAGATAAAGCAAAGAGAAACCAAAGAAATGACAGAAAGGAAATAAAAAAAGCTGCAAGGAAGATAAAGTTACAGATGACAGTGTAACGTTATCAAAGAAAAATCAAAGATAAAGCAAGAAAAGAAGAGAAACCAAGAACTGCAGAAGATGACAGACTTTATCAAGAGAAAAAAAAAAAATGAAGAAAGGTCAAAGAAGAGAAATCAAGGATAGAATCAATCAAAGAAAGAACAAAGAAGAGAAACCAAGAAGAAAAGAGATGACAGTAACGTTATCAAAGGAAATAAAAAAAGCAAAGAGAAGAGATGACAGTGTAAATCAAGGAGAGAATCAGATAAAGCAAAGAAGAGAAACCAAGAACTGCAGAAGATGACAGACTTTATCAAGGAAATAAAAAAAAATGCTGCAAGAAGATAAGGTCAAAGAAAGATGACAGTGTAACGTTATCAAGAGAGAATCAGATAAAGCAAAGAAGAGAAACCAAGAACTGCAGAAGATGACAGACTTTATCAAGGAAAGAAAAAAATGCTGCAAGGAAGATAAGGTCAAGAGTTAAGATGACAGTGTAACGTCATCAAGGAGAGAAAAGATAAAGCAAAGAAGAGAAACCAAGAACTGCAGAAGATGACAGACTTTAGAAAAAAAATGCTGCAAGAAAGATAAAGAATAAAAAAAAGAGAGATGACAGTGTAACGTTATCAAGGAGAGAATCAGAGAAAGTAAAAGAAGAGAAACCAAAACTGCAGAAGAGAGAAATATGAAGAAAAAATGCTGCAAGGAAGAGAAAGTGAGAAGAGAAAAGATGACAGTGTAACGTCATCAAGGAGAGAAAGAATAAAGCAAAAAAGAGAAACCAAAATGCAGAAGATGACAGAAATCAAGGAAATAAAAAAAGCAAGGAAGATAAGGTCAAGAGAAATGACAATCAAGAGAGAATCAGATAAAGCAAAGAAGAGAAACCAAGAAAGAAGATGAGACTTTATCAAAGAAAAAAAAAATGCTGCAAGGAAGATAAGGTCAAGAGTTACAGATGACAGTGTAACGTCATCAAGGAGAAGATAAAGCAAAGAAAGAGAAAAAGAACTGAGAAATGACAGAATCAAGGAAATAAAAAAAGCAAGAAGAAAGGTCAAGAGTTACAGATGAAGTGTAAAAGAAGAGAGAAATATGAAAAGCAAAGAAGAGAAACCAAAACTGCAGAAGATGACAGACTTTATCAAGGAAATAAAAAAATGCTGAAAAGGAAGATAAGAGAGAAGATGACAAACGTTCAAAAGAAAGAGAAATAAGAGAAAGCAAAGAAGAGAAAACCAAAATAAAGGCAAAGAAGAGAGAAATAAAAAAGCAAGGAAAAGAGAGAAAAATAAGGTCAAAGAGATGACAAAATCAAGGAGAGAATCAGATAAAAGCAAAAGAGAAAAAGAAAAGCAAAGAAGAGAAAAACATGAGAAAAGAAGAGAGAAAGAAGAAAAGAGAGAAAAAGCAAAAAAAGAAAAAATAAGAAAGCAAAAAAAAGCAAAGAAAAAAGAAAATATGAAAAAAGCAAAGAAAAGATGAAATCAAGGAAAAGAAGAAAAAAAAGAAAGAGAAAAATATGAGAAAGCAAAGAAGAGAAAATATGAAAAAGCAAAGAAGAGAAAATCTGAGAAAGCAAAGAAGAGAGAAAATATAATAAGGCAAGGAGACGAGAAAATATGAGAAAAAAAGAGGAGTGAGGATAAGAGAAAGCAGAGAAAAGAAAAGATATGAGAAAAAAAGAAAATATGATAAATCAAAGAAGACAGAAAATATGAGAAAAAAGAGAGAAAATGTGAGAAAAAAAAGGGAGAAAGCAAAGAGAGAAGATATGAGAAAAAAGAAGAAAGAAAATATGAGAAAAGAAAAAAGAGAGAAAATATGAATGACAAGAGGAGGATAGAAAATATATCTGACATCTTGCCATTTCCCAGATCAAAAAAAACTTTATGGGTAGAAATATTTTGGTTCTTACCAATCGCCAAGATAATGCAACTTTTAATATTTTATTTAATTTTTCTGTAAAGTCTAGCTAGGTTGTATGTTTACTGTAGAGAAATCTTTAAAAATAAATATTCAAAAAATATAGGCCACCTGCTTTATGGCTGAAATATCAGCCTTTCCAACCAGTGCCAGAAATCAATGTTTGATCTCTAGTAAAAGCCAGTATTTCAAATAAGGATTTTCCTGGTAGGTAAACTCTCCTACAGAAGGTAGCGACAGAGAGTGAGAAGAAGGACCTAAGCATAAACTAGAAGAAGACAAAATGCATAGTCTTCAGTAAAAGGGTGAGACCAAAATGCGATTTGCAGGTCGGGAACACTAGAATCAAGCAGGTGCGGAAGTTTAAATATCTGGGAAGCGTTTTGACAGAGGACAGTAAGTGTGACTGAAGGTGTATTGGGATAGCCAAGGATGCATTCCAAAAGCTGGGCAGAGTATTGTGAGACAGGAGGATTTTTTTGATATGAGATATTCAGTTATTTTTCATTGGTCAGGGTTTTAACCTCAGAAAAAAATAAAGCTCGGATAAGGAATGCTGATTTTCTAGGCAAGAAAACACTCCCCACTTGGAAGATATATGAAACATTGCTTCCGTTTGGTTTTGTGCTTAACTCAGATTAGTAAACAATGATTAAATTTTTATAGGCTGTTTTCATGGCTTTAGGTATGCATATCTGATTTTCAAGCTAGGGTAAAATGTATGCATTTTTTATTGCTGATTTTCCAAATGTTATATTCCGTGCTAATAGAAATATATACTTGAAAAACAAGGTGGATAAAATAAGTAAAGGTTTATTGTAAAAAGACAATACAATAAGAATAAAGATAACAGTTATGCACAAGGTTCTTGCAAGTCAATCCAGTAATGAGTGCTACTATTGGAAGGTCAGTAATTCTCGCATAAGTCTGAGTTGTACTTAACAGATCCCAGCTAGTCAATATTTACCAGCCAAAAAGAGTAGATGTGGAAAAAGGCCAAGTTTAACATGGGTCATCTAAGCCCGTAGGCTCAGGCAAAAAATGCCATAGAACCCACATAAACGGGATCAGTTTGGTCAACCTCCCCAAACAAGACTCTGCCCTTTGGCAGAGCGTCGTCCAGGTTCCTCTCTGCGTTCAGGCAGAGAGTTTGACCGTCTAACTGGAACAGATCCCAGCTAGTGTATTTAGCTACCCCACCACAAGGGTTGCATGTGGCACAAGGCCGGGTTTAACATGGGTTCTCCAAGCCTGTAGACTTGGCCAAAAAATGTCCATAGAACCCACATAATGGGATCGGGTTGGTCAATCTCCCTGAATGAGACTCTGCCCTTTGGCTGAGCCTCGTCCAGGTTCCTCTCTGCTCAGAGGCAGAGAGTTCGACCATCTTGCTGGAATAGATCACAGCTAGTCAATATTTACTAGCCCACCCACGGGGTTGCATATGGTACAAGGCTGAGTTTAACATGGGTCATCCGAGCCCATAGGCTCGGCAAAAAAAAATATTCCCTTTCGAACCCATATCAACGGGTTCAGGTGCAGTTACCTCACCGAATAAGACTCTGCCCTTTGGCAGAGCCTTGTCCGGGTTCCTCTCCGCCTGAAGGCAGAGAGTTCGACTGTCTAGCTGGAACAGGTCGCAGCTATTATATTTAGCTACCCCCCACACACGAGGGTTGCATTAAGCACAAGGCCGGTTTCACATGGGTTGTCTGAGCCCATAGGCTAAGCCAAAAATATTGCCTTTTGAACCTGTATAAACGGGTTCAGGGGCAGTCTACCTCCCCGAACGAGACTCTGCCCTTCGGCAGAGGCCCATCCGGGTTCCTCTCTGCTCAGAGGCAGAGAGTTCAACTGTTCAGCTGGAACAGGTCGCAGCTGGTCTCTGTAGACTGTTGACTTACAGATACTTATAGGTAGTTACTACCTATAGTGTAGTCACTTTTGGGGGTGACAGGTTATTCCATTACATCACCAAAAGAGACAGGCTTTATCTGATTAGATGATAGGTGAAACACAATCATCCCACTTTCACAACAACTATCAAGTGCCTTTTTCTATAAAGGTAAAGCAATTAATAATCAGAATAATTAAAACTGGTGTGTATACCATAGGTATATGCATAGGTACAAAATGCATTTTGTTACACATATGTTAGTATTTCAAACTTCAGCTATGTATCATGTTGTCAGATAACTTTGTTCATTTTTTTCCAATGATATTCGATTAACAAATATTTTTACGTTAGTGATTTATCGTCTTTTGTTGCTCTGTTCCTCCTCAACAACTTTTGTTTACTGTTTTAATTGACTTATTTGTTAAAATTCTTGATGGATGATAGGATTAAAATAAATGGAAAAAAAATGAACAAATATATCTGACAACCCAATATATGAATATACATACAGACATAGCCATATATTTTTTTTTTTATTGAGGCAGGACCAGGATTAATCTCACCCAAAGCAACGTGGGTCCTGCCTGACAGAGGATTTATCATAATGATTTACAAGGTTTTACAAAGCCAGATGTTATTCCTGATACCCAACTCAGACACTCACAAATGATTTTATCCAGACACCATCTCTAGGAAGGTTGCTAGTTTTGGCCAACATGGCCATCATTGGGAGAAGAAATATATCTTCTTGCTTGCTTGTATATATATACAGATATATATATCTCTGCTGGTATATATATATATATATATATATATATATATATATATTCATGAATTATTCATACAAAAAACAAATACAAAAGTTAATGATTTAATTGGCGAGAAATCCATCGTCGCAAACAATTCAAATAATATACAAAAACCCCGAACCTGTTTATGAATGAAAAGATCCTTGTTTCTATAAATTTCTGTTGCATGAGTTCTTATTTTACCAGTAAAAAAGAATTCACTTATCACCATATTTGTATATAATTTGTAAATTCACCAACTTAAACAAGGAGACCATCCAGAAGTCATCTGGATGTCATGGTTGAAGCCAATGGCAATTTTATTGAATAAATTTACTTTTTAATATTTCAAGATATTTTTGTGTAATTTTGATAAATATGTCAGTGTTATTTTCATTTTTGCATAATTTAGATGACAATTTATCCATCTCAAAACCAATATAGGTAAAATTTTCCTTAATTTAATCCACAAACATTTCAGCCATATACCATTGCTCAACAAAATCTTCAACAAGAATATCATTTAGATTAGCTCCAGCTACACCAAAAACCTCAAACAGTATATAGTACAATATAATAATATAATATTAAACAAATATTTAAATAACCTCAATAACAATATTAATAAAGACAAACAGTATAATTGTCGAAAAAACAGTACCTGTCCACTAACTCATAAATGTATGTATAAAGACATTATTTATAAGGCTAGCATTAAATATAACAGCAACACTAAGTTTAATTTGTATCACCTGCAAACCACTGGAAAATCTAATATTACCATCATAAAATGACTCTTATATATAAACAATATTCAAATTCCATGGCACTCTCAAAATTTGATGGGAAATCCAAACTACACACTGGTAATAAATTTGAATTTTGTCACCAAAACTACACCTTTTTCTGGCTGCAGTAACTGATGTAACCTGTGTTTGCTGGAAAAAAGATTAATTCTCAGAAATATTAATGACTCTAACCTCCTTAACAAACTAGTGAGCTCATGATAGCTTTCACCCATAAAAAAGCTCTCTCCTAAAGTATTTTGATTCTGGATAAATCTTTTTACCCAAATCACATCTGCCCATTAAATATATTAGATTAAGTACTTATTACTCCCCACCCTTTAACCATTTAAGCATCTATTAACACGTAACGGATTACACAGTGTTCCTCTTTTCTTTAAATTTTTTATTTCTTTAATTTTTTCTCACCTTTTACTTTCCCTGTCTATCTACACTTGTTATTATTTTTTTTAATTTATGTCCTAATATTATTAAACATTAACTTTATGTACTGTGCAGTCTTGAAACATAGAGATAGTTTATAAATAATATACAGTCCACTGTGCCTACCCCTATTTATTCATTTTGCTTGCTCCTTACACTTAATTAATTTTTAACTTAATTTTTTTTTTCCCCAATGGAAAAACAGGTACCATATAAACTTTAGAGCTTACACCATTCTCTCTTTTTTTTTTAGCTTTTTTTTCCCAATATCTCCTTCCATACACTGTATATTTTGGATTTGCACCCCAATAATATATTGGGTTTATATTAACTTTCAGCTTTAAATCTGTATATAATTTAGCATTCTTCCCATAAAAGCCAGTATTTAAAAAAAAAAACAGCTGTAATAAGTGGCTCATTTGCCATATGTGCCTGATGACTTGGGAAACCATGAAATTTTAAGTTGCATAAAGGTAAATGTATATTTATTAATATATACTTCATAATACAAATATGCACAACAGATTCATAAAATCGAAAGAAAATGGTTGAATACATCAACACAGATATAATATATACAATATTCTCCACACGTGACAATCACTGACGTTATTTTTCAGTTAAAAAATATGAAAATAGCGTTTCTCTACATTCCAGTTGCTAGGTACATTCTGTTTTTGTTTTTATTAGTTACTTTGTTCATTTAATTTCATTTTCGTATTTTGCTTTGATAAAGTCCACATTGGACGAAACGTGTCAGCAATTACCAGTTTTCCTATTGTCATTTTTATTCATAAATATATATATATATATATATATATATATATATATATATGAATTGTTGTTGGTTTGTTGGTATAGACCTTACTTTTGAGATGATCCCAAAGGAAGACATCTAAAGGTATCAAGTCGCACAATCATCGTGGCCAATTGACTTCACCGTTTTGAGAGATGATGTGACCTGGGAACTTCTCATTCATTTTTGTTTGAATGTCCATTTTTGTAATAGGCTTTGATAAATT